ACACCAAACTTCCTCGACCCCTTCCTGGACCGCCCGGAGACCAGCCCCAACCCGCAGACCCAGACCATCAAGCAGCGCCGCAAGGCACGACAAGCCAGGCTTGCCTCCGACCAAGTCTCCGACCGCGTCAAGAGACGCAACTCTCGCCGGTCCCGCGTCACCTCCACCGGCGCCTCGTCTGTCTACGTCCGCCTTCCCGACAAGATCAGAAAGAGGCACATCATCACCGAAGAGCAGCTCGCCTCGGGCCTGAACCGCAGGCACGACATCATTCTCGACCCGGCTGATGAGGCCGTCTACAAGGTCCGAAGGAGAGCGTCAAGCGTCGTAGGACAAGACGAACTGTGGAGCCCGACCTTGTCGGTCCGACCCCAGACTATGGAGTCCCAGCCGAGCCAGAGGGAGATGCCAAAGAAGGCCAAGCCTGTTCGGCCGGAACAGAAGAAGAAGCAGCTGCCGGAGAAGATCCTGCCGACGTCTCCAACTTCACCAAAGAACAAGCGGGATTCTTTCTACGACAGCTTCCGTTGGCTGGAAGAGGATGACGACTTGGATCTGCGCCTGCACCTTGATGACTACCACCAGAACCTACAAGAGGAGGCGCCAGCCCCGAAACAGCGCAGGCCGTCGTTTCGCAGGCACTTGTCTATATCCAAGATACCTTTCGGCCGTACCTCGCTCAACATGAACCGGCCTGGCACAACGCAAGGCGTTACGAGCAACCCTGGCTCTCCGATTTTTGGTAACGCCCCGAGTAGCCCCCAAGCCACTTCCCCGGGCCATGGTCGCCGCAGATCCCGCGCCCTGTCTCTCATCACACCGAAACATAGTCCGCAAGACACCGTGGCGGCATTTGACCCCGAGGCCGCACATTACCAAGATCCCGAGGCCCGTCTAAAGCTTCGTGCGTATCTCGCATCACCGCAAAGGTTTGACGAGGTCATTGAGTTTGGGTTCCCGTCCAGGGAAGCCATGTCTCCAGAGGCGGCAAGGAACAGCAAGGACCCCAAGAGCAGACGCTCAAAGGCAGTACCGGCAGACGAGTCGGACAACCTCCGCACTTTCCTTGCGGACGATAGGTCGTCGATATACAGTGAGGATGGTTCTCTCGACTCGGATTCCCCCAAGACGCCTCAGACACTGGAAAATGCTACCGCCCTCCGGCCGCCACCGCCATTGAAGGGCGACAGGGCGTATTCCCCTCAGCCGTCGAACAACGAGTACGCAGCAGCCGAGACGAGGGAGATGACGTTACGCATGACACTCACTCGACCCGACCTGCGGGCTCACGACGACCAGATCTACGGCTGGCAGGCAAAATGCTGCCCTCCCGCGCCCGGCAGGAAATCCCAGTCGAACGCATTGCGAGACGACTTTGCCGCGCCTGCGTTTGCCCGGGATGGGACGTCAAAAGAAAGCATTGAACGTCAGTTCGCGGCCATGGACCAGTGGAACGCTCAGACCAATGACCGCGGCGTCATGAAGCGTTTCTGGAACAAGGTCCGGCGTGGACAAGCATAACGCTGCGGTATGGGATGCTTGACTTGCTGCAGCCCATGCTCAGACCCTTTAATTCGAACCGCAAATTTTACGACGCCCGTTAGACTCCAACAGCGAGATTGCAAGACTCGACGTAATGACACTAGCAGCACTGTTTCTTATACCCCCAAATCAAATATGTATACATATTTATTTTCGTAGTGTCTATTATCTCCCTTTTGTTTTCCATATTCTCTCAAGAGCGATTTTCGTGTGTGCGGGAGGGGCTTCACAGCCAGGAGTTGGAAGACGGTGATAGCGAGATGCATAAGGGGGGGAGGAGTTACTGTAGGGAGATGGGAACTGCCGCGGTTTCCGCCTGTCACTTTTTTATTTCATCACACGCACAGAGTGATGGACCCGTCCAGAGAGGCGGATCATTGCTCAAAGGGGAGAAGGATAAGATGGGTTGCAGCGTAGCATTTGTCAACGGCGTCGCTCACAGGCGTCCGCCCCCTCTCACAAAAAACAGAAGAAGAATTTAACTCCCACCTGTGCCGCCGCGACACGTTTTTTTGGTGTCTGATTCGTATGTGACATGCAGGAGACGTGAACGTGTCCGTGGGAGAGTTTGGGCTGCGTTGCATTCCGTGCTTGTCACAGGAGAGAATCGTTCGAGGTGCAGCGTGTCAGCGTTTTGGGCGCAGGCAGGTAGGTAGGTAGGTGAGTGTGCAAGCGCTGCGAGGGCGGTAAGCAGATTACAACGCGAGGATCATGGCGTCGGACGGGCGATGGATCGTCGCAGGATTGGGCGCGACGGCATGGGTGGTGGTGCTGGCATGGGCGAGAGAGTGTGTGCGAAGATGAACCCAGGAACCTGGTTGATAGCTCCCTCGGCGTTAAGCCACTCGGACGTCGTGCTGTGTGTGTGAAACAGATATTATCTCCTACTTCTGCTGTCCGTTGTGCTGGGGAGGATGACATCGGCATATTTTGGATAAACGGCGGTCTGTGGGTATGGGATGTGAGTAAGGTGTAATGGTGATGTGATACGATGAGACGGGGGGGCATTGGGATGTGATGGAATGGGAATTGGGATGGGATGGGATGGACCCCTGGATCTGTTGCTTGTTGCGGGCAGTGAAATCTAACGGTACCTAGTTTCTGGTTGCGGTTCTTGCGCTCGGGGCTGCTGGCTGGGCTTTTCATGTTTGGTGTTGGTTCACGTCACGGTTAGGGAATGAGGGGGCGGGGACGGGGGGGGGGTTTGCCTTCTTCTTCTTCTTCTTCTTCTTCTTCTTCTTAGGGAAAGAGTAGGTAGCCTGCCTGGCTTGTTCTGGATGAGGTCTGATCATCATGGACGGGCTTTATTGGGAAGCCAGACGATGGTTCTTCTTTGGTAGTGGTATTTCCATTCCCGGCGGGTGGGGGGGAGATGATTTGGAGCGTGGTTCGGAAGGGTCGTCTTCCGTGGGTTAGTTATCGGGGTTCAATTTGGGGTGCGGGTTCATTTTAGGGGTTGGTTTCGTTTCGTGAGGTTGGTTAGTGTCCCGGCACTTTTTTGGGGGGGGACGTCGAGGGGTTTCCTTGCCTGTGGCTAGAACGCTTGAGAAGGAAGGCAGGATGCTTCTTTTTTTGTGATGGGAAACGGGCGCTGGGGGGGAGTTTGGACTGGCTGCGCCCGATGTTCAGATGATTTGAGCGCGATTACATTGTCATGAGGCGGTGTGGTTTTTGTTCTTGCTTGCAGGGACGGTTGGAGATGCACAGTCTTTTTGTGAGGTATTGGGGAGGAAGGGGAGCTTGGACGTGCCGAGACTTGTTGCTTGGTTTACCTTACAATGCCACGTGCGCCTTGGTAAATTCTTGCCCTTACTCCCCCTGGTTCCCGGCAGGTTTCGTTTCGGAGTGCTTTATTTTATCTCCGCGGGAAGGATTTTGTGCAAAACGAAACATTCTGGGTTGGTGAAACCGGGGTTTTCCGGGGAAGGTTGGTGAGTTGGGGTGGTATCGACGGTGACTTTGCGGTTGCATTTCGTTGGGTGGGGAAGGGGATTGGGATTAAGCTTGATGGACGGATTCTCGCCTGATTCTTGCGTCGCAGCAGATTGTCAATTGTCAACTTGTCAGTCCAGAAACTGAACCATGTGGCATGAGCTTTGGCAGTGTGGAGCTCGTCATTCGGGCGTGTTGGCCATGTGAACAGGCGCCGGGCAAGATTGCGGTGGATGCTCTTTGGTGTTTGTCAATGATGAAATTTGACGATCACTGTTTGCGCCTCTTTTTTTGAGGGGGAAGGGACGGATTCGGACCGGATCGGCGGACACGGCACCTTGAGTGTTCGGTAGTGAACTGAGACTTGGGGCGGCAGTGGAGAGCCGGTGCTGGTGGGAGCCGAGACAGGTCGGAGGAGGCAGTTCGGGCCGAAGGGTGATGATGACGCCCGGATTTGGGTGGCTTGAAGCCACGAGAGGTTTGTTTCTGGCTTGCGTCCATTACCGTCAAGGTCGGGAATCTAAGCGCAACGACGATCATCCGCGTCCGGTGGTGAGTTTCCGGGAGTGGGGCCGGACCGGCGCCGGGGGTTGTATCCACTGCCTTATTGGGAAACCGCAGCTTCGTCGTTACGGTCTCAAAGCATCTCTAGCACCGTATATTCTATGGTCGTGAGGCGTGGGGAGTGAGGTACGCTGCTCAGAAGCTGTAGGCTACATAAAGCAGATGCTGGGCCAAGCCTGCGAGCGATATGAGGTCAGTCTGTGGAGGCATCTCAGGATCAATTGGCCGTACAACCGCGCCTCAGGGTTTTCGCTCTGTAGTGCATCTGCGACAGTTTGAGCCTGGTTCACAATGCACCGGCTGTGTCTTGTGTGTATTGTCCAGATAAATTTGTTCTCTGAATGCTCTCTGGCCTGACGAGACTGACATGATCCTGTCCACTGGTGCTTTTCACCACGCACTACGCTCAGCTACTGGAACTCATCCGTTAATAAATAGTGACAGAAAAAATGGAATCCTAGAGGCAAAGATCCAAATAACGCTGCATTGCAATACGCTTTTCAATGCAGTCACGTGATAGCGCGCTTGTGGAACCGGGTGGGTCCCAGGTGGCCAAACGTCACGGCCAGAAATTTTGGCGCATGGTGCTCTGAGATCCCGAGGAATCATGGTGAGGGCCGCCACTCATCACAATTTGTTCACAACATCGCTAAAATTTTGCCAGAGATGTTGTCCAGGTTGAGTCGGCCGTCTGGCCGCTTTCAGAGTCTCACGGCCAGGACGCCGGTTTCCTGGGTGGTCACCGGCTCTAGCTTTCAAGAGACCCACGTCAGCCCAGCGAGAGTGAGTTCCCCGGTGAAGGCTTTTATATCGTGAATCACTTTACTGATGAGCAAACTAAGTCACGTGGCGGAGACCGGGGATTCACGAATGTGAGAGGTGGCAGGGGACGCGGCAGGGGAGGACGAGGAGGAGGCGCAATGAGACCCCGGGTCGCATCCCACGACCTTTCGGCCGAGGAAATGGAAAGGATTCGTGAACAGTCCGATATCAGGGACCGTCTCCGAGCCTGGGAGTCTGAGAACCACATCCCCGCCAAGCGTCTACTGTCAGATCTCCCGACCAGAGACATCCCGCTGTCCAACTACTTGACCAGGCCTGACATGCTTCCGGGTTCGACGGAGGCGATCAACGGCCAGTACACCGATTTGAACGACAACAAAAGCCAGGCGAATCGCGCTCTGTATGACGGTGATGAGCTGGAGGACCTGAGAGGGTCTACGTCGGCGCTTGTGGCCGGTGATCTGGTGGAGACGAGGTGAGATTTCAAGATCCATGACAGCACAACGACTTTGCTAACAAGACGCAGGTACGGATCAGGACGCTTGCCAATCCTGGCCATCTGTCTCGGCGATCACCACGGCCTGAAATACTTCTACATGAGCACGGGCGAGGTCGTCCCCGAGCAGAACATCCCCACGCTCTTCACTCTCACCAACTTCATCAACCCCGCCAGCTTCCGCCACATTACAGACATCATCCCCCCGAAGCCAGTCTCTAACCCACGCAACGTGCTCTCCCACCGCAAAAACGAAGACGCTCTCGCGACCGCTGCCCGTCTGCAGGAGGCCCTGACAACCTTCCGCGCCAACTCCGTCTCCTTTTACCAGGCCCACGACAAGCTCGACCACGCCAGTAGCTTTCTCGCGCTCCCCGACAAGCCGGACTACTTGAGCCTTGAGGAAATCGCAGAGAAGCTACTCCCCGAATTCCTCAAGGTCAAGGACAAGTTCCCCCCGCACGCCCTGTACGCCGTGCACTGCGCCCTACAGCGCGACGAGTGGGGCTTCCGGCCCCTGAACCTCCGATGGCACCGGCGCAACTACATCTACGAGGTGCGGCCTGACTCCGACGCGCGCATCCTGCGCAGGACGGAGATCCAGGTCCGCGAGCTGATCGAGGGCGCGGCGCTGCGCGAGAAGCCCGCCGAGTCCCTGACCCTCCTGAAGCAGAACAGCCTCGGCCAGTTCATCCTCAAGGCGCGGGGCGTCATCGAGGCCAGTCGGAAGAGGAGAGAGTGGACGCCGCACGGCATGATCGGGCCCAGCGAGAAGGAGGCGGACAAGGTCATGATGTGGAGCAACCGGGACCTGGACTACATCCGGTTCATGGAGCTCTGGGCGTGCCACCGCATCGTGCCCAAGGCGTCGCAGCTTGAGACCCTCGGGTCCACGATCCTGCGCCTGACAAATTGCTACACACAAGACGAATGGCTCGCCCACTGGACCGCCTTCACCTTCCTCCAAGAGATCGGCTGGATCCCGCCGTGGGATATTCCGGCCCGCTACGAGTATCGCTTCCCCGATACGAAAGTCCACAGAGGCACCCCGATACAGATGCCCCTCGTCGACGTCAATGCCTCCCTCAGGCCGGACATCGCCGCCGGGAGCAGACGGGACTGGGGAGACACGACCGTCTTCTGCGTCGACGCCGAGTCGACGACAGACGTCGACGACGGCTTCTCCGTCGAATCGACTGACACGCCCGGCGTATACTGGATCCACGTCCACATCGCCGACCCGGCCTCGACCATCGACCCCCACTCCGACGTCGCCCGCCGCCTCCAGCAAGCACCTTCGAGTCTCTACCTCCCCGGCTTCCCGAACAAAATGCTCCCCCGCGACCTCGAGCAGCAATTCTCGCTCGACCCGGGCCAGCCCACCCTGACCTTCAGCGCAAAGGTCAACGACCGGGGCCAGATCCTCGACCACAAGGTCGAGCCCGGCATCATCAAAAACGTCCTCCATGTCCCCAAAAACGAAGTCGCCGCAGTCCTGCCCGGCCTCCTCACCCAGCAACCCTCCACAACCCCCTTCTCCGTCGGAACCCCGCCGCCCCCCTCTCCACCAACCAAACAAATCACCAAAGCCTCCGCCCTCTCCCAAACCGACAGAGACAACCTCCTCCTCCTCAACCGCCTCTGCAAAGCCCTCAAACACCAGCGCGAAAAGAAGGGCCAGCTGCCCCCCTTCCAAGCCCGCTTCAACTCCCCCGAGGTCTCCCTCGCGCCCACCTCCGCCTACGGCGACCCGCAGATCCCCGGCTCCTCCATCATCTGGGTTGGCGACCCCTTCATCCGCTTCTCCGACCACGCCACCACCGAAGCCGACCGCCTCGTCGAGCGCCTCATGCACACCACCGGCGAAGTCGCCGCCCGCTTCTGCGCCGAGCGCAAGATCCCCATCCCCTACAGCACGCAGCCCGAAGCCATCCGCAACAAGTCCGCGCTCGCCGCCTTCCGCAGGACGCAACTCGACCCCCTCACCCTCAAGGGCAAGCCCATCCCCGTCGAGACCCTCCACGCGCTCTTCGCCCTCGTCGGCACCTCCGAGCTCGCCATCGACCCGGCGCCCTTCTACTCCGTCGGCCTCGACGCCTACGCAAAGTCCTCCAGCCCGCTCCGCCGCTACGCAGACCTCGTCGTCCACTGGCAGATCCACGCCGCCCTCGCCCGCGAGCGCGCCACGCAGTCCTCCCTCGCCGGCACCGACTGCGCCGAGGCCGACTTCCTCCCGTGGAGGCGGAGCACCCTCGCCCCCGCGCTGCCGATGCTGCAGGCGCAGCAGCGCCAGATCAAGCAGGTCGACAACAAGGACGGCCCGACGCAGTGGATCGCGCAGGCGCTGCTGCGCGCGTGGCGCTTCGGCGAGGCGCCGCTCCCCGCGACCTTCACGTTTGTGGTGGACGGGCTGTACGCGTTCGGCCTGCGCGGGCGCCTGGCGAGCTTTTTTAACCTCTCGGCGTCGATTGACCTCGCGCAGCTGAGCGGGTTCGCGAAGATGGCGGAGATCAAGGTTGATGATTTGATTGAGGTGGAGATTAGGGATATTAATGTCGTGACGACGCAGATTTCGGTGCAGCCGTTGAGGAGGTTGGTGTCGGCCCCGGCGCAGAAGCAGCCTGGGGTGACGGGGCCGGGTGTCGCTGCCCGTGTGGCTGTATGATGAGAAGAAGTTTGTAAATGAGAGGCAGTTAATGACCTCGTGTAAGATCATGTTTATAGCATAGACTCCCAAAACGTGTGTACAAGATAGATACGAGGCAGGAACGGACTTGCCTCAGGAACGACTCAATTATACCACTTTGATTCAAATTTTAAAATTGGCGCGTAAAATTTGGTGAGCTATTTGTATGAAGCCAACCGGGAAGAATGAGGACATTTGTTGCAGCGTGTCAAGGGAGGAAAGACAGCTCATCGATCCGGTAAAGATGGTAATGGGTGTAGAAGAGAACGTTTGCCTGCTGGAAAATGAGCAGTTGTCGGTTGGATATCCAGCTTAGAGGTCTACGGCTCTTCTACTTTGGCCATGAAGGCTGCATGATTCTGCGATGGCCTAATATGTATGACCTGCTCTGAGCTGGTTTTGGAGAAAAAGTACGCAAGGGTTGGACTGCTTTCAAGCGGCGTAGTAGCGTGAGAGCTCCCTGATCAGCGAACATCTCACGGCCAAGAAGGAAGGTATGTCATCATACCAAATGCTGGTGAGAATTCTGGGGATATAAAAGGGGGCATACTTTGTGAGTCAAGATCTGAATGAAGAAAGAACAGGCAATCGACATGTTCTCTGGGGGCGTTTTTTTTGAGATCACATCTTCAAGGTTTACATCAAGCATTGTGGCTGAATCCAAAGGTTCAAGGTCTTCTGAAATGTTCAGATTCGGATGTATTCGTCAAATAACCCAGTAGCGAGGATGACAGACGGAAAGGAAGCGTAGTCTGCAGACTTGATCGACGTTGGCGGACTAAGAACCTCTGCTTCACCATTTGCCCGTTTCACAAGTTACTACTGGAGCTATTGGCGTATGACCTGACGACGGTCCCATTTCTCTTGCTTGGCAACAAATACATCCCAGACCTAGCCGCTACTGCCTCATGTGTGAGTCGTAAGTTTAGCTGAGGCAGTACGCGGAGCATGCCATCCATGTAACACAGATCATGTCATCATGTAGAAAGATCGAGGAATTACTTAAGAAGAGACATTTCAAGTTTTAACCAGATCAGACAATCTTCTGAGCCTGGTGAGATTGCTCTTCCGTTCATCAGCATCCAACCTCTGCTACAGGACTTTGGTATCCCTGGTCGACGCTTGCAGTCCTGTAACACCTCCCTTCTCTTCGTCCACAGTGTGTTTGCATATTTGCTTGAGGACCAATCGGAGAAGACGAAGCCAAACGTAGAGTATCAATGAGTCCAACAAAGTGAAGCCCCAAGGACTCTTCCTCACTTGCTGCTTGACTTACTGGTGGGATGACCGGGTTGCCGGTTACATTCAAAATCATCAGGACTATGCAGATATCAAGATCAATTTGGTGAAAAAGTCTTATCGTCAGTTCCAGTGTTTACCTTATATCCATCCGGCAAGAGACTGAATCAAGACTTGAGCGTGATGACTAGAGGACGGCGCAAGGGAGCCTACTGCGGCAATTTATTGGAACTTGTTGATTTGCGGTAGAACTACCGTCTTCTTAACTCGAATCCTGAGAGACGGGTTGATTCTCCGTTCGTGTGATGGCACAGCCGGAGAATGACGCGCTGGGCCATCCTCAAACACATGCCGAGTCTCGTACGGACTATGGATCCAAGGCCTAGATAGAAAACGGTGGAAGAGCTTGACGTAACAGCATCTCAGCATACATCGTCGGCCCGATGTTGTTATCGTTCAACAACCCGAGAGATCGCATCCCGCTTCTTAGTCGTTGTGTTCGAACTAAATGCAAAAAGTTTGTCCCTATAAATGTACGGCCATCAGCAGCTTCGTCATCATCTCTGGGGCATATAAACGCCAGTTGACCTCTTTATGCTGTACCTCAAAATGCAAGGTCTGTTGTTCCAGGGCAGGGCCTTGTCATAACGAGATTCTATATGCTTTTCGTCTAATAGGCGGCTTGAAGACCCTTGCTATCTTCTCATCGCAAGGCTTGCTTCTACGTATTCCTCATGGATAACAAGCTGACGGCGCAAGTGCGGGACGACGAGCTTGACTCGGCTCCTCATACCGCCTCCTTTCCCTGACAGAGGAGATTCGACCACCACATTGAACCTTGGAAGACACCCATAAACATCCAGTCTCACAACAACCAACATTTGCCATAAAACTGAAAAGTGGTATTTTGCGTACACTATATAGTAGTACAATAGGACATATCTATCCATCATCCCCTGCCCCATATTACTCACTCACCCTACTCTACAACATCACACACGCACACCTCTTCACGCCTTCACATCCTCACCCTCATCCTCCATCGGCGGGGCATCCTTCACGAGATCCTCCCTCGCCTTGGGAACCTCCTTCCTGCCCGTAACAAGCTCAATGCCAATCAACCCAGCCAACATTCCACACAAATGGCTCGTCAGGTCGACCGTCTGCTTGCCCCTCCGGAACAGCGCGGCGATATGCACACCCAGGAGCACCGCCAGGAAACCCAATCCCTGCGGCCCGTTCATCGGGTCCGGCGGGAAGCCCAAGATCTTGAACGTATCGAAGCGGTGCATCCAAAAGTACGCCGTCGCTGTGCCGAACACCGCGCCCGACGCGCCGACCGTCGACACCGTCAGGATGCCGCGCAGCGTGTAGATGGTCAGGCTGCCGAGCAGGCCCAGCGCGCCGGAGGCCATGTATATCGCCAGGAAATTCGCGCGGCCGATCTCGTCGTGCAGCGCGGTGCCGACGAACCACAGGCCGACCATGTTGGTCGCCAGATGGCTCAGCGATGCGTGCGAGAAGTTGGCCGTCAGCATCGTCACGGCGCGCGGCATGCCGTGCACCATGATGAAGTAGCGGTTGAGGAAGCCCCACAGCGGCGGGACGTGCCAGGCGGCGTAGACGAGGGCGTTGAGGCCGATGAGGAAGCCGACGGTCGCGGTGGAGGCCGAGACCTCGGGGTACAGCCGCTCGGTGTCGTGGGGCGGGGAGTAGACCATGGCGGCGGCGGCGAGGGCGCCGACGAGGAGCGCGACGACGGCGTAGGAGGGCAGCAGGCGCTCGAAGAGGGTGAGCTCCGGCGGGGCGTCGAGGTTCGAGGTGAGTTGGCCCTGCTCCTGCCACTTTTGCATGCGCGGGCTCATGGGCGGCCGCTTGATGGGGACCGTGGCGACGGCGCCGCCGGGCACGGGCGGGGGGAGGCCCTTCTCTGCGGCCTCGCGCGCGAGGCGGGCTTCTTCCTCGCGGGCTTTGGCCTGGTTCTTGGCGCGGATGGCGTCCATAACGCTGTAGCCGTACACCGGATCCGGTTTGACCTCCTCGGGAGCGTTGTCCTTGTCGCTGTTTCTGAGAGATGTCTTGGCCGAGTCGGTGTCGGCGGCGGCGTCGCCGTCGGCCTTTTCGGCGATTTCCTCCTCCAGCTGCGCGAGCTCGTCCTCGGCGCGCAGGCCGGCGTTGAGGATCTCGTCGACGGGGACGTTGTCGCGGAGGTACTTGAGGGCGGCGGCGCGCTGCTCGGGGCGGAAGGAGGCGGTGTTCACGGTGAAGATCGGGTCGTCGAGGGTTCCGGCGACGCGGCGGCCGTGGAGGATTCTGAGCAGGCGGTTGGCGGGGTTGGGCTTGAATGCGGGGCCGAAGACGGCCTTGACCTCGGCGGCTGTGAGGTCCTTCTCGCGGAAGGGGAGGCCGGTCTTGTCTCTGTAGTCTGCGGGGAGGTCTTCGTATTCGCGGATGATTGTGGATTTGGCGGACGAGGAGGAGGAGGCGTAGCGGAGTTGCGTCGCCCTCGCTGCGGGCGAGGGCCATAGGTTACGATGGATTGGTGACCATGATGACCTTGTGACGCGGGGGGCGGAGAACGTCGAGAGAAGTCGCAGCGGAGAGTTCGAGCTGTTGGCGGCTGCACGACGGCATGTTGCGCGCAGGCCGAGGCCGAGGAGGGATCGCGCGGGGAGGATGAGTGAGGTATTCATGGCTCCTGGGAGCCCCGTTCGGGCCAGTCGTTGCAGCGCACTGGGGAGATTGTTCACTCCTCAATGCGCCGGTGCCGAGTGCGGGATTCGGTGGGAATCAGGTGTTCCAGGGGGTAATTCCCGTCTCAATGGGGACAAACGCTCCCACTTCCTCTCGAGACTTTCGACGTTGCGTGGTTCGATGTGTGCGCACCGAAGAAGTCATCGACTCCAGAAATTCTTTGAGTGACGGAATCAGGGCCGCACCAACGGTTCGGCGGCGGTCTGTTCCGGACCACGGCGTGGTGTGAGTTTAGTCTGACCCGGCAGGCCCTCAAGGTACGATTGGTCGTTATCGATAAGGATGATGTCGACGGGGCGTTGTATCACCACACCCTCCAACCTTTCTTTCCTCCCTCCCTCCCCTGTTGGTAACCCCACTGCAGGAACCTTCCACCCCGCGGTTTGCGTACCTAGCCGACAACCTGAACTTGTTCCTGCTGCTCCTGCCGTTGCTGCTGCTTAGCAAGAACCCAGCACCGAGGTTTGGCAGGAAGCTGTCCGTCACACTACGTTACCTACGCAACACCACCACTACAATTCTACACCAAAGCTCACCCTGCAACGATCATCGCCAAAGCAGCGCACGATCGCGCCCATCCTCACCTACGTCACACCTTCTCAACGTAACAAACGAAGCACCACCCTCCACCAAAACCACATCGACATTTCGACCTACCTTCACTTCTCACCTCTCACTTCACCAACCATAGCAGAAAAAGGAAAGAAGTCCAAAATCAACACCACAAACACCAAACATGTCCTCCGCCGACACCGCCCCAATATCCCCCACCCGCTTCGCCGCCGCCCTCAAAGACCTCTCCCTGCCCACCCTGCACCTCAAGGTCCTCGAGATCCGCAACTCCATCCTGCACCTGCAGTACTCCAACGCGCAGCTCAAGCCCTTCGCCGAAGGGCTCGCGACAACCCTCGACGCCGCCACCGACGCCGCCGCCGGCCGCCCGGACCCGGACTGCGTCGAGGCCATCCGCGAGAACGAGGCCGTCATCGCCCGCATGGAGGAGCGCGTCGCCATCATCCGCGCAGAGGTCGAGGAGCGCGGGCACAGCTGGAACGAGTTCCGCAGCAAGGAGGAGGTCGAGGCCGAGGGGGACAAGGCGGAAGGCACTAATGGAACGGGTGTGAATGGGACCGTGACTGCTGCGACGACGACGAATGGATTGGCTGCTGCGCGGGAGGAGGAGGAGAGGACTGCAAACGGCGCGGGTGCTGCTGCTGCGCCGAGCGCGCACCCTGCGTGGTTGGACGGCACTTTTCAGACGGGCACGATACGCAACGGGGAGATCCAGCTGGATACCCAGCCGGGGCAGCGAGCGAATGGGACCGGCGGCCGGCTGACGGACGAGGAGCTTCGTCGGGCGATGGAGGAGCAGATGAGAGGCCTTGGTCAGGATGATGATGAGGATGGCGGCATGCACTTGTAGACGAGGCGGAGGATACCTACCGCTTTTCCAAGTCACTACTTAAAGATTGGGCGGCGTTCATCATGATTCGGAGAGAGATTAGGTTGGTGGAAATGGAAAAAGAGAGAAAAGGTCACGGAAAGAGATAATACCCTCATGTTCCTATTTTGCTTGCTAGCATGCCATAACAAAGGGAAGCTGAAAAAGAAGTGGAAGCTTGATCGCATCTATGTGCGCATCCAAGTGTCAAAGTGAGAAAGGAGAATGAATGAGGAATTCGACTGAACAAAAGGTCGCCGTCCCTTGGTGAGCAAGGAAAAAGATATCAACCCAAAGCCAATCCTCCTTTTGGGGAAAATCAAGAAATCATGTTCCGTATGCTGCTTGCTGCTTTTGCGCACATCTCAACGCCGATGCCAATCCAATCCGTTGTAATGCAGATGCCCTTGCCTGAACGCTATGCCCCCCAAATTGTAATAATGCAGTTGATGGCCCCCCATGGAAAAGTGGCAAATGGGGCCACAAGGAAAGGAAAGTTTTGTGTCCCTGGGGACGTGTTATGATATGGTTGCTGGTGTAGTCGGTGTGTTCTCATCCGACTTGAGGACGATCGGGTTGGTCGAGGCCTTGGGTGTGATGTCGGCGTCCTTGGCCGTGGCATGAGGTCTGGTGCCGTTTGGCCGTGCCTTCAATGCCTGTCTAGTGTTTGACCGGGAGCTGGTGATTGTTTCCAGCTTGGGCCGTCGGGGAGGGCTCGCGCGTCCCAGCGAGTCCCAAGCGCGGTGCTGGACGTAGTCGTCCTCATCCGAAGACGTCTCCTCCGGCGTGGCGGGGACTCTTCTGGCGCGCGCTCTGCGTCTTCTCTCTACCAGTTCGCCGTCTGATGATACTTCGGATTCCAGCGACAGGCTGCGACTACGGTTGGACATGTTCTTGCTCGAGACCGTTGACTTTCTAGATCTTGACCCGATAAGCGAGTCGATTAGTTCCGATTCCGAGGGGGTCTCGTCATGGCGGGGCTTCTCCGCCTGTCGCAGCTTCTTCTGAAGCGCCTTTTCGCGGACGAGCCTGTCAAGGGGAGGCTCCTCAGAAGCCATGGTTCTTCTGCTGCCGACAGTGCTGGTGCTGTGTGTTCTGGTGACGGGTACTCGGCCTTCCATGAGCTTGGCTGGTGGTGGCGGCTGCAGCATCCACTTGAGGGCGTCGGGACGAGAAGGCTTGCTTCCGACAATTGGGGGGTGGTAGTCGTTGACTGGGGGGTTTCGCGGGGTGGTGTAGAAGTTCTCGCGATCTTCGTCCGTGATGGCCTTCTCGCGACCCAGCTTCTCCTCGACGTAGCGTCCCGCCGTCTTGCCTGCTCCGACGATGTTGTCCATGAGCTTGTGGCCCATGCCAGACAGATTGTGGCCCCACAGCTCCTCGTCTTCGCGTTGGTATAACGTCCTGTTCCACCCATCGCCAGACAGTTTCCGTGCCTGCTCCTGGCTGATTGTCGGGCTGACGGGACCGGTGCTCTCGGCGGCGGTGCTCGCACATCCAAAACTCGCAGCGGTACTCGCGCGGCCAGCGCTCTGCAGGCCTCTCTGGCTGGCGTTTTTGCTTGCCGACTTCTTGGGCAGGTGGGGTCCCATGGCCATCTCCTCGGCCCAGTAGGGGTTGGTGTGGAAGGGGTCGGGATGGCGGTACAGTCCCGGCTGCTCCATTTCTATGCGTCTCTTGACCTCTCTTTCCTCCTTGGCCTTCTTCTTCGCCTTCCTAAACGCCTTCATCTCGTTACATGGTGTGCAAGCGAGGTAGTAGAAAATGGCCGACTGGATAGCGACTGGTAACGACATGATGGCGACGAATTGGCCGTAACCCCGGCAAGGGGAGAACGAGCAGAAAGTAGTCGGCGGCCGTAGGTGCACGTATACATCGAATGCTGAGGTGTCGTGTGTGGTGGAGGTTGACGAGGGTATTATAGACGGGGTGTGTGTGCGTGGGAAGGTAGTGCCTCGTGGCGGTTCGCGGGGAGAGGATGTCTATGCTCTTTGGTGGGAGAAGTGACAGGAACCAGGACCGCAATGGTGGATAGGTGTCTGCGGTAATGTCGAGGTTAAAGGTTATGGTGGGTTAGGTAGGCGAGCAGTTTTGCAAGTACTCGGTGGGTGAGTAGGTGGTCTCGTAGTCAGGTAGGGTGAGGTGAGTGATCTGAGTGATGGTCGAAGGAAGGGACCGCGTGCCAGCGCCAGAGAAGTTTAAAGCGCCATTGAAGTGAATCACCGGCGCGCAGCCCAAGACACAGTTTCGGTACAGAGGCGCAATTGCTGTAAGAGTGGCTCGGCCTGTGCGGCCCCCTGGGTACCGGGAGTATCGAGGATTGGTTTGGCGGACGGGAGGGTTTCAAGGTTGGCACCAGACGGCTATTTCGAGGGGTGTGTGTGGTCAGGGACGCTTGGTGGACGCTTGGTGGCTCGAGGGAGAGAGAGTTGTGCTTCTGCAAGGTAAGACGCCTCTTTGGTTGTGTTTGCTGAGTGTGTAATTGTGTTGAGTTGTCTGTTCCGGGACCGTAGCGCAGAGACGGCGTTCGGGGTGTGCCGGGCGAGGGATGGACGGGGTGTATGCGGGTGGTCGGACGGACTGAGGAAGAAGGCAGATGATGGCGATGGTGATGCCGGGGGCTTGCGTCGCGTGAGCAATGAGACGTTTAGATCTGGCACATGGGGGTTGTTGGGTTGGCAGTGACCAGCTGCTTGGTTAGGTAGGCAGTTGAGGATGGCAAGAAGCAAAAAGAAAAGAGGATAGCGGGAGTAGGGTGAAAAGCAAGGCGAATTGGACCGAATTGTTGGAGAGTGGTAGAAGCAGAGACGTCGACGTTTCGAAAAAGGGAGGCAGAGGCTTGCGCAATGAGAGACGGGAGTCGGGAGTGCTGGTCGCTAGTACTGGCGCTGGTGCTGGTGCTGCCACTGGCGGTGCTCGAATCAACGGTATCCGTACTGGGCCTGGCACTGGAACGAAAGGAACCTGGAAGGGGGGGAGTGGGTGGAGGACGGACGGGGACTGGACGGATGGAGGGATGGGGCTTGGTGCAGCAGCAGCAGCAGCGCAGCAGTGCCTGTGGACGGGTCGCGGTGCTGCTGCTGGGTGGAAGGGGGGGGGAGGGAAAGTATCAGGTACCTTGTTGCTTCAGCACCTGCTATGGTATGGGTTCCAATGAATGTCGCCAATGGCATGGCTCAATGGCCCCAAATTCCAGTGGAAATCACTGCAGTCTGCGAGAGATTGCGACTGTGGCCCTCGTCCCCCCATCCAGGTCCCAGGGCCTCCACAGATTCAAGCGATGAGGGGCCCTGACCCCCGTCCTCGAGAGGATCGTGGATTGGGGGGACATGGCACCGTAACTTCCAGATACGGCGCCCTCCATGCGCCGTGCGCCAATAGCAAAAGCCAGCGGCGCAGTGTGGGGTTTCTGCTTTCTCACGATGCATCTCTCTGCACCTCCAACATGCGCCATCTGCCTCTTTCGGGTTTGAGGAGGTTGGACAGCAGCACTCGACACTCGACACTCGACGCGGGGGAGCGGTGATGGCGCCTCACCTTCCACCTCCGGATGTCGGGCAGTACCACCTGTCTACTGCATCATCACATCAGGTAGTACGCAACCGATGTTGGAACACATCCTACCTGCTGTACCTGCACAGCAAGAGCAAGAGCAAGGCAAGGTACGCAGCCAAGCAGCGCCCAGGGGCCCTGTGCCTGTCCAGTGCGTCAGCCCGTCGCCCGTAACCAGGACGAGGAGGTGCTCCCGGGGAGGACGAGGACGAGGAGGGCGAGGGCGAGGGCGAGGACAAGAAGGACGAGGATTGGTGCACCTTGCGCATTACAGCGCAGCGCAGCGATTCCACGTCCAACATGTTTCCACCTCGACCGCCTCGAATCTTCCGCCAACGCACCGGCCAAGATGCCTTCAGTTCCTTGGTTTGCGTGAATGGGATTTCCCTGCAACACCTGTCCGTGTCTCCGGGGAGATGTGCGCATCTCACTGTCCATGACATGAATGTTGTCACGCACATCAAAATATGCCCGCCAAAGCTGTCCGACTCGGACTCAGAAGATCCCAATGGGCCAAGCAATCCATCATCCATCAGGTACGCTGTGAGTGTGTGTCTGTCCACCACTTGACGTCCTCCAGAGAAACAGCCACTGACAAGTACCAGTGACTTCCCTCCCCCCGACAACGCCCCCTCCCCCCCTCGACTTGGCCCGGCGTTCGACCTTGAATACCATGCGCTCTTACCGAACCCTCATCGCCTCAATCCCTTACCCATTCCCGCCCGACAATGACCAGTGACACCATGCGAGGGTGCTCCCCCCGCCCAAGGCCTTGGGTGCTGCTGCCGGAGTCATGAATCTGCAACTCGGCCAATTTGCGCCGTGTCGCGCCCTTACGCATTCAACACGCGCTGGGCGATAATTCCTCGCGTCGTCGACAGACTATCGTCCCCCTCCGCCCACTTGCATCGATCAATCCATCAGTCAATCGATAGTGGCTCGCTGGCATTCTTCAGTCGACAGTAGTCTATCCAAGCCAAGATTGATGTCAGAGTCGGGCGATATCGATTAGAGGGGGGCATGAAAAAAAAGGAGGTCAAATGAAATTTCCTCTGCACCCAATTTCCACCCCAAACTTGGCTCGGTACACGCCTACCTGGACCAGTTACCACCCAAAACTCACCCATGAATTATCAGCCAGACCGTTGCTTGTCTCACTCTCGGCCGTCCGCGCCCCCGAGAACGTCCCGCAGTGACCATTCGTTCCCATGGCGGCTCGAACGGCGCGGCGGGCGCGCGGAGGCGGCGTCGTCCTGGCGGCCGGCCACTCTGCGTCCTCCTTTCTAGCACCGACACACGTTTTCCTTCGCTGCTTTTCCCGCGCGAGCTGCCTGTCTCTGGCGTAGCGTCGGCCTGAGAGGCGTCCTGACTTGTCTTGGTCGCTAAGGGAATGGGAGATATGAGACAAGACGTGCGCCTCAGCGTTTGGCGCGCCAAAGCACCTAATTTTTCCCATTTTCCCCCTTCTCACCTTTTCCGGCATCTGTCTCTGTCGTTCTTATTTCCAGTGTTCGTCGGCACAGGCCTTTCTTCTCTTCTGACAGACAGCGGAGGAAGGGACCTCGGAGCGCATCGAACCCTCAAACAGGGGACCCTCGTTGGAGGGATATTATCGACGCCTATCGATACTCATGCCCTGTCGTTTCCACACCTCCCCTACACCATCTAGGTTCCCTCCCACATCCCCCTCCCTCACCAACAGGACCCGTGCCATGCGCAATGTACCGCCGTACCGTCAACCTCCTCCAGTTGATCCCCCATTCGCCGAGATATCGACAAGACGCATGCCATTTTAGACAATCCTTAGCCCATGCCGTTCAAAGAGGTTACAGAGCTGGTCAATGTCACAATGCGTTTCGCGCTAGCCAGTCGATTCCTCGGAATTCAACGTCGATCCTTTTTCTTCTAGACGTCGATCATCTACAGAATGCGTTCCCGGAGCACAGCGAGGAATACATCATTCTTGTGCAATCGTCATGGGACGTCCATCACCAACAGCCTGGGGAACGATGACGAAGGCTTCAAGAAACCACTACTGTCTCGACCAACGACAACTTGTGGCGAAAAAAAGAAGAAGAGAAAGGAAGCGCATTGAGGATAACATCACACATATCCCATCCCATCGTATTATCCCCCACCCTCCAAATCACTGTCGTTCGTTTGCTCGCTCGCCTGTCAATGCCATGCCTGCCAACACAAAGCCACTTTACCCGGCACCCCTCCTCTCCATCTCAACATCGCCTGCCGCCGCAACCTTCATCAGCACCACTTCGCGTCACAATGCACGCACTTCCCGCGGCAGCCTACCAGTCGATTACTTTCCTTCCCGTGAGCCTCCTCAATAGCCTTTACGGCTGAACGAACCACATCACTAAACCCGCCCATCTCTCGCGAATCCCATGAACCTTCTTTTCCCAACATGAAAAAACAAGAGACGACTTACACATACTGCAGCAAGGCGTACGTACACTCGCCAACTCTAAGCAATGCCTCGTTCCTTTCTTTCCTCGGACGGCGAGAGGAAACAAACGGCGCGTAATCCCGCGTGCCAAGACCATGCAAATGAGAGCGAGAGAGAACGAGAGAAAAGCAGAGATCTCACAAAAATCTCGTAACCTAACGCAATGTAAAAATAAACTTAGCACGATCCCGTCATCTAACGAAACCCTGTAGATCCTCCCTCCTCCTCCAGAGGAGGGGCCCGTGATGCTGCGACGACCCCCCTCCCCCATCTCCCGGGTCGCGACTAGCAACCGGGAGGAAAAGCACAATGACAATATCCAAAGCGAACACGGAACTTCCAACGTCCCGGAACGAAATACAGGACATGATGATATGTTGGGGATTAATCGCATGCAGTGCAGAGGCTGTCTGCGTAACTCTGCATAGGGTTTACCAAGTTGTCGTCTGAGTAGAAATTGAATTAGACATTGGACAACGAAGGCTCATTCCTCCTCGTCTTGAATATCTGCCTCTGAGATACCATTCTGCAACCCTGGATCCAGTCCCATTCCCTCACCCAAGACCCAAAAAAACCTCCCCAAGCACCCGTCGTCGTCGTATGCAACATACGACTCCACCCCCGGATACCGTCTCCTGTACAACACACCTCCCTCCATCCCACGCACCCGACCACTCGTGTGTTGGCTCCTTCCGAACTAACCCATCATCCAGAATCCCGTTGAAAACACATCTCAAAAGTCCGACTACAACCACCGGCCGCCGCCAACCTCCCGTCCCCACTCGCCCAACCGGTCCCCGAACCTCCGCATCCTCCCGTCCTCCGCCTGCCTCAATCTCCGCCATCCGACACAAACACCACCACCGCTACTGCAAAACTACTCCCCTTAGCCCCCATGCATCTCACAGAGCAGTGCCAGTCCAGTCCAACTGACCAAACCAAATAACCGCTGCAACAACATCACACCACACAAACCAGAACCTATAACCCGCATCAGCCCGGCGTCATGCATGTCTCAACCCCAAAGATCTCGCAGATCGACTCCGGCCATCACCATCGTCCATCGGGAAGGGGCGGTCAGTCAATCTCGCGCGCGTGGGCCCCCCACACGTAGGCGCCGGCACGGCAGCTCACTCCCACTCCCGTCCCTCCGCCAACTGGCTTCTCTCACATGCTAGACAAGACAGCTTACCCCAGTCTCGTCGACTCGTAGCGAGCCGCAGCCATATCCCGTGTAAAAAATCGTAGAGCATGCCGTCACGGGACTGGGCGTGCATCGCATGAACGTGGGGTCGCAGCTCATTACGTCCAACCGGCACGATCCCGGGGAGACATATTCAAAAGAGCCACCAGTCGTCACAGCGGAAAAGTGATGTTCACAACGAAAGACATGCATAGCTCGAGACATAGAACGGGGTGAAAAAAACCTATTGAAAGTATCTTGCGGGAATCTGCGCTAAACACACAACGACAGACGTGCCATGGCCGTTTCCCATGTGATTCAACCAATTTTGCCCTAAGAGAAGTTCCATTTTGTTCGCTTTCGCCCCGAGACCCAACTTCCTGGCTTCATCGACATCGTGATCTGTCGTTGTCATCCCCCGCTTCGTCACACGTCAGGTCTCGAAGCCGAATAGAGAGAGAAATCGAAAAAAGCATGTGCAAATCACTTAGCCCGCTGGCCAATGTCCCCCAACTCCAGATCCCATACCGATGCTGAGATCTTTTTTGTATGTGTGCGCGATAGGCCGATGGCAAGCCACGTGCCTTCCCCGGCCGCGCCTCCGCCTTGCGCGGATGCGATCGACTCGAGTTCGGCGCCCCTCCATGACGTCGAAAGGGGATGCATGTGAGAGTTTTTCGTTGGTCCGCACTCCAGGAAGAAGTATTGTACAGTTAAAATAACAAGTGACAGTCAGACGACGCCCGGTGATGGGATATGATGTAGGAGCGTGCGTCTAGAGCGGAATGTCCTGGAGAACAATGAGGGTGTGTGACCGTTTATACATCCCACTCCTCCTCCTGGGTGCTCAGGGCGGAGAAGGAGCCGTAGGAAGGAGCAGGCTTCGCAGCCTTGCCGTTGGACGCAGCCGGCTTCTGGACGGCCTGGGCGATGGGGCGAGATTGGGCCGGGGCGGGAGCGGCGGCGGCGGGGGCCTCGACCTCGGGCTCGGCAGCCTGGACCTCCTTCTTGGCCTTCTTGGACTTCTTGGAGACGGTGTTCCACTCATCCTCCTGCTTGAGCTGCTCCATCTGCTCCTCCTCGGAGGGGAGCGAAGAGATCCAGTTGTCGGAGGCCGGGGCGGGAGCAGCGGCGGCGGAGGTGCCGTTCTGGGCAGGAGCGTCGAAGGTGTCGAGAGGCTGGACGGCGGCAGAGCTGCCGTTGGTGGAGGCGCCGTTGGGGCTGCCGGCGGTCCAGGAGTTCTTGCCGTTGGCAGCAGCCATGAACTGGGAGCCGTCCTTGGCGGGGGTGCCGGAGGCGATGCGAGCGGTGCGGAGCTGCTTCTCGAGCTTGACCTTGCGCTCCTTCTCCTCCTCCTCGCGAGCAGCCTTCTTGGCCTCGGCCTTTTGGCGGTTCTGGCGCTGCTTCTTGGTCTCGGCCTTCTCGGGGACCTTCTGGTTCTTGGGCTTGGTGGCCTTCTCCTCGGTGCCAGTCAGGCGGAGGACGGAGGGGCCGGTGGCGGCGGGCTCGAGCATGTCACTCACTCCGCTGGCGTCGACGGGCGCCACCTCGGGGGAAGCGGCGGGAGACTCCTCAACAGCCTCGACGGCAGGGGCCTGAGCGGGCTCCGGCTCGGCGACCTCAACGAGCTTCTCGACAGCGCGGGACTGCTTGACGGACTTTTGCTTCTTCTCCTTGTTTCCAGAAGACTTGCCATCAAACTTCTTGCCCTCCTTTGCGGCGGCCATTCTTCTGGCAAAGTCATTGTTGTCGACCTTCTCATCAGGGTCGTTGCTCAGCCAAGCGGATGAGTCGTTGGCGGTGGAAGAGGCCTTGTGCTCTGCAGGCTTTTGTGATGCAAAGGCAGCCTTTCTTGCCTTCTTTGCGTTGTTCTCCTTGCGCGGCTCGACGTATGGCTTGACTCCCTTGGGAGCAATCTGCTTGCCGTTCTTCTCAGCCATGTAGTAATAGGTCAGACCTCCAGCCAGAGCAAGAACCACCAGGTACCCGCCCATAGTCTGGGTCGTGAGGAACTCGGAAGTAGGCATTGTGAGTGGTATTGGAGGCTCGAGGCACTCGCTTTGCGATGGATATTAAGGGGTTTGTTGATTAAGCTCGCAAGGTGCGATCGAAGACGGTGGGTTATCGGAGCAGTACCGAAACCTATGCCGAGATAACACAAGGCGTGTCTTCGTGCTTCACGGATGTTGGAGAAGCGGAGAGGATGGGATGTCTGTTCAATGTGAAGTTATTAGCATCAGGGCAAGATTTGAGTTAAGCTTTGAGTAGGATGCATTCATCCAGGGTAGCTGGGGCAGGTGCGGATAGGCACATACAGAGGGATGCAATCGGGCGCAACAATTGATGGCTCGACGCTAATAATGTGCAGGAGTGATGGGGGCGGGAAGGTGTGAAAATTGTAGAAGAAGGGAAGAGAGGCAAAAGGGTGATGAAAGAGGTGTTTCAACCACGCGATTGAAAGACTGGCAGGATGTCGTGTTCAGATGCCAGGTAGCTTGGCAAGAGCAAGGAGCAGGCAAAAAAAAAGTTACCAGGTGGCTTCTCAGCAAATATCCAATGGGCGCCAATGGGTGTGGTCGTCCGGTGGTCCAGTTTGGTGCTAGCAGTCCACTAAGGTGCCAGCAATGGGGATTTCTGACAGACCAGGACTCGGGCAAGGGAAGGGGTCCCGTCACGGATTCAAGACCCGACCGCCGCAGAAGTGCTGCTGCTGCTGCTGATGCTCCTGTCGCTGCGCTGCTGCACCGTACCCGGTGTGCATCCGAATCCCCCAAGAGTGGGAATTACGAATCGGGTTTGGTGTCGTTGCCGCAAGTCGCAGGTGCCCCAGGGATGGTTTGGTCTGGCCGGAGAGCTGAGATGAAGCGGGAGGCGAAGACACCGGCAGGAGAGAAGTGTCCAGACCAAATTGTGCGTAGCAAAAAAAGAAATAACCGGAGGGAATTGGCGATTCGCAAGGCTGAACAGGCAATTGGATTGAAGCGAAGAAAAATTGTCACTCACCTTGAGGCAGTCGCATTGACCGATCGTCGAGCTGGTTGTTTCTCCAGAGCTTGAGCTGGAGAAGTGGACAGGATGAGGTTATCTCTCCAGGGCCTTGTTATGTAATTTCCTGGGCCACCTTGAAAGTGACAGCTTCGCAATTCCACGGGTGGAAGGGACCGGGACGCTAGGATCCGTCCTCCAAGCACGGGCTTCGGAGTAATTGCAAGCTGCAGAGGTCGCAGAGGTCACGTGGCCTTTGGACTGAGGTAGCTGCCTACACGTGATCGTCTTACTCTCGAGCTTCTCATTGGATGTAGCAGATAGGCGGCGTTTTGATAACTCCGGGAAGGCGCCTACCGCAGATGGGAGCTCCCCTGCTGAGGAAGGAGGCAATAGGGTGCCGAGGGACGGCTCTTGCCTCGCGTGAGAAAGACCCAAGAACAGAGTGAGAACAAACACTACATCATACCTAGCAATCACTTAAGTTCAAAGTAAAAATAGCCATGGCCAGGCTCACGTGTGTGCGACACCAATTCGCTCCTTTCCATAGCTCCCGAGGCTTTCCTTCCCGCACCTCATCCAATGTTGGAAACCTTGAGTTGCAACCTGCCGCATGTCAGATCCCATTTCCCCGATAAGAGAGCTGCGACAGCGGTGCCTGGGCCAGCTGTCCCTTATCGCTCACCTGCGCTGGCCTGAAGGGGCTTAGCGGCCCTCTCCAGGACGCTGATTCCCACTAAACCCCACCATCGACGTTAGGAAGAGTTAGGAATGAGGGGTCGTCGCCTACCGAATCTCTATGCAACGCCGTCACTGATGCGAGAAAACCCTTGCGGGACGACGAACTAGAGAGCTTTGAACCTCTCACTGTTAGGAATTTAAGAATCGCTGCCGGACAACTCCGTCAACCACTACCCACCGCCGATATCCGTCGAACTCCGCCTGACTCAGCGGATCCGGTTTTATATAACGATTCAACGGTCCCTTTCGAGATACTGTCTATTATCGTGTCGCAAACCGTCAAGACTTGAGACGAAACAACTTCGACTCTTCATCTGAAAAAGAAAAGTAACAATAGTATACCCACCATCCCTAGCCATGGCCCCAAAGAACCGTGTGATCATCGATACCGACCCTGGTGAGAACACCCAACGCAAGATCAAGACGTACAGTGAGGCTGATTATCAAGCTAGGTATTGATGATGTTCTCGCCATGCTCTTGGCCCTCGCGGCCTCTCCTGAGGAGTTGGAGGTCATGATGATTTCAGTCACATACGGCAACGTGCCTCTTCAGAGGTATGCATCCTGGTGTCCGTCGACTTCTCGGTATTGACCAATCTCAGCTGTCTACGCAACGCGGTTGCGCTGTTCCATGTTCTGGAGAAGGAGTTGGCCTGGCGCAAGGAGAACGGCAAGCCTGAGGGCTTTGAGTCGTTGAGAGCTTATAAGCCTATTGTTGCTGTCGGGGCAGAGCATCCTCTTGAGGATGATGAGCTGGCAGCCGACTACTTCCGTGAGGAACACCGCCTGCCAAATGCCATGCCAAACACTGACGAACACAGATGGCATCGATGGTCTGCACGGCGTCCATGAGAAGCATCCCCACCTAACCCCCGACGACAGATGGAAGGCACTCTTCCACACAGAGAAGGACGTTGACCACGACCCGTCCCCCTTCAACCAGTACTTCACACCAGCCAAGCAGGTCGCTCACAAGGAGATTCTGCGCATCCTGAAGGAGAACCCTCCCAACACCATCTCCATTTGCGTCGTTGGCCCCATGACGAACGTCGCCCTTGCCGCTGCTGAGGACCCCGAGACCTTCCTCCGTGTGAAGGAGCTGTGTGTCATGGGCGGTGCCGTCCATGTTGAGGGAAACATCACCCCCGTTGGTGAATTCAACACTTTTGCGGATACCGTCGCGGCGGCCCGAGTCTTCGCCCTAACCTCCCCCAACCCCCGCTCAACCATGCCTCTCATCTCGAAGGAGAAGTCCTCTCTCCCGCCTTACCCGGCCAAGCTGTCCAAGCAGCTCAAGCTGACCCTCTTCCCCCTCGACATCACGACGCCCCACCTGCTCAACAAGAACTTCTTCACCGAGCAAATCAAGCCCATCGTCGAGGCAGGCAGCCCTCTTGGCCAGTGGGTTGACCACTTCATGTCCAAGACGTTTGAGAAGGTTGAGTCCATGGAGGGCAACGGCGAGGAGCCCGGCCTCTCCCTGCACGACCCTCTCACCGTCTGGTACCTCATTACACAGTCCGACCCCAAGTGGAAGCCCGTCGCGGAGCCCGAGGACATCCGCATCGAAACCTCTGGCCAATGGACGCGCGGAATGCACATCATTGACCGCAGAGTCAGAGCCAAGTACACCGAGGCGGCCCTCGAAAGCGATTCCACCGGCGAGGGTGTCGACGTCCTTACCCTGGCCGAGGTGCCCGGCGACTGCGGCGGGTGGCTCAGCTATAGCAGAGGCAACAGGATCAACAGGATGGTCGAGTCTCCCGGCGAGAAGCTGTTCGCACATGATCTGATGAAGAGGATCTTTGGTTGAAATGTATAGAATGCGACGACCCCTGACTGTCTTCGGGGGCTTCTCGTTTCGGTGTCAGCACAACAGCATTGAGACTGGCATGGAGATTGGATAGAAAAAGGCAGGCGCATACCCCTTAGGAACCCAAATGTTCATTCTCTACCAACCCAGAAAACATTCAACGCCGTGATTTTGTGTGTCTTGCGCGCCTCCATCTGGCAGGCTCGTATCTTCCCAATACTCGGGTATCCCGCTCGCAATTAAATAAAAGAAAACCAATCCCTGCTTTTCGACTCAGATGCCATGCTGTCCCTTCGTCGTAGTTTTCGCCTGTCTATACGTGCTTCGTTCCTCCAATGGCGGATCCCTTGACCTCAGTCCAGTTGATGCTCTCGTCTAGTTGCTCGTCTACGAGGCCGACGGTGCAGACGTTGTCGCCGCGCACGAGGTAGAGACCGAGGGGGACTTCGACGGAGGGCTCGCCGCTCTCGGGGGTCTGGATCACGCGCTCTTGGGCATTGCTGAGGACCTGGGCGCATGAATTGGTTAGCCGGCTGCTGGAGGAGAGAGCGAGCACCGGGAACGAGAGTGCCTTACGAGGTTTGTGTTTTGGTCCGCGGCTTCGAGGTTGCCGACGAGGATTCTCGAGTCGACTGTGACAATGAGCACCTTCTCTGTTTCCGATCGTTAGCAATTGTAGGATCGTGGCCTGAGAGGTGTGGTGGAAGATCGTGACATACTGTTCAAGTAGCCTCCGAGGGTAGCCATGATTGCGGTCTAGATTCGATGGTTGGACTCGGGGATTGGCGTTACTTCTGGCTAATATGGAGCTACAAAGAGGCGATAGCAGGACGTTCTGGGTATTCGTCGCGGGACCGTTTGGAATTCGGGGTCTCGCTCAGCTGTTCTTGTCGTATCGAAATGTTGGACTCGGATGCCGCTTGGTGAAATTCGGAAATCTGAGAGGGACCTTGTAGCTCCCACACTAGTCCTGTTTGGGAAGAGGTGAGCACGGCCACTGGGGAGCTTCTGTCACCCAATGAACTGGTCTGTGCGTCTCGCTGTTCCTGGACCAGACCCTTGAGACCTGGTGCTGCACTTTCCTTCACCCCATGTTCAAAGACTCTGCGCTTCACGGTGTTTGCATTGACTTGGCATTCATTGATCTCTATGCCAAAGATACTCTTGGCCTCCAAGAAACCAAGATTTTCCCAGTCTTGATGAAATGTAATCGAGGCAAGCCACCAAGTGGTGGGAATAGCAGATCTTTATTGCCGACTTATCAGAGCTGACGGCTAGGCCGCCCAAAATGGAAGCTGCACCAGCGAGTCGCATCGTCTGCTGTGCCGCTTGCCCGAATACACTGAAGCGGCATTTGAAGGGCGCGCAATCCAGACCCTGGGCGAGACGACCAACGACGTAGAGCGCTTCTCCTCCCAGCCTTGCACCTCGTTCGTTGTACACGCGTCCAGGGCCGGGCGTCTCTGTCTGGCTCCCTTGGGCATGTTGAACGATTATGATCGTATGTGTGGCTCTCTGAGCTTTACTGATTTTTCAGGACTACGAGTGAGTCTGGACAGACACACCGCCTCATCTCTTGGAGATGGACGCGCACGTCGATGAGGATGCAGCACCCGCCGCCCAGAAATTCATCTTCTCGAAGCAGGACGAGAGGAGGATCAGGCGGCGGTGTATATGGGCTGCTTTCTTCTTCGATGCTGTTGCAATAGCCCTCATCATACCTCTTTGCGTCGGTGGTTGGGTTCACAACGCCAATCAGGTTGGTGGGGCAGTCAACAGCGAAGACATACATCTCGTAACAGTCAGTATACACTGTTCGACACAACGCGTTTGTCACTGACGTGAAGGGAAAAGTGGTCGGCGGTATATCGCCGGACTGAGAGCCAGCGCCAGAGCACATTTGTTTTCACTTGGTTCTTGAGTAGCTGCTGCTTCAAGGAGGCGTATGTTGACAGCAGCTATGCGCTGGCGGGCTGCGTACACAGAACGCCCGGCAGTGCTTTCGATCTGCAGAGCATCATCCAAGACGTCGAAGACAGGCTGGGGGAGCAGGACAATGTGGAAGCTGGCCCAATAACGGACCCAGAAGGCCGCTTCGTGGGACCATCGCCAGCAGAGTTTGCGACAGCCGACGTCGTCACCTCGACACGGGATGCGCTGGCGTCCTACGGAATTTACCTGGCAATCAACATGGGTACCTGGATCTTCCAGATCATCTCCAAGAGACACCACTACGCTCTCAACGCATCCCACTACCGCGTAATGACAGCCGCGCAAGTCCTCGCACTGTTCGCCTTGCTCGTCGCCTCGGGCATCACGACAGCGGCAGCGTACAAAGCGAAGGCGGCCCTGGACGAATTTGACGATGTGTTTCCATACCATGCAGTTGGGTCGTCATTCGCAGCCCTGACGTGGTGCGCCTTCGTCAGCCATATGCTTGGATGCCTCGCCTACGTCGGGGCGGTGTTGATCTGGCACCGCCTGCAACGGCCGGAATTGTATCCACCAGAGCCCGAGGACGAGATTGAGCGGGCGAGGAGGGCGGGCCCGCGTGGAGAAGTGGCCGAGTATCGCCTGCGGAGACTCGACGAGCCGGCGGTCCATCGGGAGGTTGATCCCAATGCTGCTGTCGATGATGAATTACCGCCATATTCCAGAGTCGACCCTAATGAAGGGAGAATAGTCAGCCAGGAAGGAAGAGAGCCTGAGATTGTGGAAGGGCCCATTGAGTTGGCTCATCTCAGAGGGATTCGAAATCCGCCCTTTCAACCGGTGGACGAGCAGGGAAATACCCCAGCTCCGGCGTATGAGCTTCACCAGTGGCCACCAAATCTCAGGACGTTACGGCGCCCAGAGACCTAGTTTTTGATGTTTGATGATACCAGGTTTCCTTCTCTTTCATGTTCTAATTTTTGAAAGCTTGTCAGCGGCGACGGGATTACGGGTTGTAACAAAGATACCTTGTGTTTATAATGTTTTCAATGAAGATGATGCCTCAGCAAGATCAGTGCTCAAGCTTCGGGGGCAGGTGCGCTGAGCTGTGGCATCCCCAGGCGCGTCTCTCGCCCCACGGCGTTCGTCCAAACTCCAAACTCCACCCGACGCGGGCCTCACCCAGCTTAAATCTGACCTCACCCAAAGCGCGTAGCTTCGAAACCTTGCTGCCCCCGACAAACCAAGCTCGCCACAATGCCTTCCCAGGACACGCCGGTCATCTACGCGGAGCTCCTGGCAAACATCCGCCAGCTGTCCGTCGCAGTGACCCTACCCTCGCCTGCCGAAAGAAGCACGCAAGGCAGCGTCTCGCCAGATGGTTCAACGCTGCACATTGCACACGCAGGCACACAAACGCCGTTCTCCCTCCCAGGCAACGTCGTCGCGCCCAGGAACGGCGTCCTCCCCGCATCGCACCCGGGCTCTCGCGTCCTCTCATGGCGCCTGCCTCTGTCTGACGCATCGGCGCCGCTGGCACGCGGGCCGGTGGACGAGCCCGTGCCGTGGGCGGCAACCGATCTGCTGTCGGAGTCGGCGGTGGCTTGCAGGGGCTGCGCGGCGACGGTAGTCCCGGAGGGCACGGCGAAGGAGTGGAAAGACCTGCCGAGCGAGAACTGGGCTGAGATGATGGACTTTTGGCACTGCCACAAGCCGACGGATCATGAGCACGATCACGAACCTGAGCACCTTGCCAAGCGTGGCTACGGCGCCAACTCGAGCATCGCGGCGCAGAACGGCGTGGGTCTGGTTGACCTTACGTCTCTCCTGTTTACTGAAGCCGACTGCTCGGGACTCGTGGTAAGTGGATAACTCTGCTTTCGTTCTGTTCACCATCAAGTTCTCCAGTGACATGTCTGAACGGGGCATTAAGAAGGAGGCCATATTGGCGTCTCTGCCGCTCAGTGATGTGGTCACCGATACTCCGCCCCGAGATCGATTCCGTCGTTCCTGCCCCGGCAGGCTTCCGGCTTGCTGAAACCTCTGTTCGCAGATGGGTTCGGCGGGCTTGGAAGAAGACACCCTCTTCTTTTCACTGGGGACTTCCAGAGCCGTGGAAGCCTCGGGATTACCAAGAGGGACATGCAACGTTTCGCGTTTTCTTGCTTCTACCATCTCCTTTGCTTACCTCTCCTTTGTGTAGTTCTCTTGCTCCTCTTACGAAGCCGGCTCAGAAACCAGCTCAGCAGTCTTGGCTGGTGAAGCGGACCCTCCACCGCGGATGCTCTACGTTTTCTGCTCCGGCTGCAAGACCCATGTCGGCTTCTTCAACGTCGCCATCTCGTCCGTCCTTCTCTTCAAGTGGCAAGTGTCATGCCGGACGGCCGTTGAGAGCACCCCGCCCAGCAGCTCCGACTGTCTCGCTGCGTCGCTGACTGCAACCCTGTCGCGGTCCGGCTCGTCCAAGTCGGTGGTGGTGCCGACGTTCTCATCGCCCCAGACCGCGAACAGCGGCAGTGATGATTCGTCGCCTTCATTGCACCTGTGGATTCTGAACAGTAACATCGCGTATGCCTCCTCCGGGCGCGAGGGCAAGCGGTCTGCCATCAAGCTGCTGTATCGAGAGATACTCCAGCATGAGGCGGACGCGATGCTGGAGACCATGACGTCGGATGTGCAGGAGGTGAATCTTCCCATGGCGGATATTTCTCGAGCAGCGGAGGTTCTGCGGAGCAGCACCGAGCTACTTCCGCCGAGTGAGCGAGTTTTCAAGGAATGGAATGTCGGCTTATTGGATAAGTGGCAGGCGGGCAGCGTGCCATGAAGCAGTGACGACCTAATGGCAGGTTTGGGAACGCTACACGCGACGCATGGAGAGCATACGACACGGTGATGAGGATGAAACTTCCTTCGAGGGAAATCTCTCATTTTAAAAGCAGGCTGGCTGTTGTATACGACGTGCCGGACAGCACCTGCTACCCTTGTTGAAGCTCTCCGGGTCATGGTCGCAGCTTCATTTCCTTCGCCAGGTCCTTTATCACGAGACGACTGCGAGTAAGCTGAGCGTGGCCAGCGTCGGCTCCAGCCAGATCGAATCCGCGAGCAAGAAAACCATCCAAGTGCAAATGGCATTGCCCTGAGCGTCGTCAGATGTTTACCTCATACTCTTCCGAGTCTTTTCTCGGCTCGATCCCGTACATAGACACGCGGCAGGCACTTGCCATTGGCAGCTACGGCGATGATTTGGGTTGACCTTTGCCGTGGAGGGTGAAGGTTGTCGGTAAAGGGGGGAGGGCACGTCTAGATGCTTCGACATAAAGTCGCTCTCGCACATTCAAGTGTGAAGAGCTGGAGAAGTATGCACGTCTTCGCAGGAAGGGCGTCACCAAGGATGACGTAGTTTAGAATAACATTAAAATATATTCACATTTTTTCCCTGGCAACCTACGTGAAGCTGCTCCTGCTCACTTCAGGTCTTGGAAACCATATGTCTGCATGCAATTGCCACCAGCCCATGAAGTGAAGTACACCGACACACCTATTAGCTACTGCGTCAAGGTTTCGGCCGGGCTACGTGGCGTACTTGCTGGGGCTCTTTTGTATGTGAATCATTACAGGTATTCGTGAACTCTAGCCATTTCTTCCAAGTCTGAGAGAGGTCGGTGAAACAGTGAGAGACTTAAACGACCATTGAGTAGATGGCATTACTCCTCACGAGGCCCGCACAACGCTGCATTATTTAACCCCCGCGCCGTTTCTGTTAATGGTCCCAAATCACAGCCAATGATCTTCCCCTGTTTGCCGAGGCTTGAATTGTTTGACGAAGCATACAGTCAACCTTTGCTTTCTGGAAAGGTTGTGTAAAGTCAGTGCCAACCATTTCTGAAACCTCCGCGGCGCTGCTGTTTGCCCCCGTCTCCGACGTGCTATTGTGTTACTAATAAACAGCAAAAGATCTTTCGGTAAGTTATTGCATAGATGGGTTAGACTGTATTCGTCGTGCATGATGCGCCTGATGATCTGACCTAAGATTCGTTTATGAACAGGTCGAGAGCTCCAATCGGAATCGCCAGATTTGCCGGCTTCTGCTTGTTAGATTCGCAATCATATTGCCTTTTATATCCAAGTTCACATATCCTTGGAGAATAATGTGCTTTCTTCCGCTCTATGAGAATTCAGCTGAAGGGCGGAACATCTATGGGACCACTGGGTATAAAAGAAGCTCAAATGGCAGCTGAGAAGTCGGCAACGCAATGCCTTCCAACTTCTTCGTTCTAAGGATACCCTACATTACATATCTGACCGCCATGCATCGATCTTGAAGAGCATACACACGACCTAAATGCTGCAACGCGGTGATGATTTCAAGTGATGTCACTGAATACTTGCGAGGAATAGACGGGTATGGCTGGACGTCGACAGTTGGTGATTTCGTCTGTTATGACTGGTTTCTCAACGAACTCTGAAGATCTGAGTTCACCGCAAAGAAGGCTGGGTTTGTCGAATGCTTGGTGATTGCGCAGATCCATTATGTCTACTCAGCGCCAAAAGGTGCAACATTGTGTTGCCTGACTTGAACTTACAACTATGGAGTATTTATACGCATATTGGACTGATTCGAAGCATATTAGAGCATCACATGAGCACCATCATGAGTTCAAAGTGGCTACCTCCTCGGGTAGATACCGAGGTATTGTCCCTTGCTATAAGAGAAGATTTGCTGCTCAAACTTCAATGCCCAGAACGCAATGCGGCGCTTGGCATATACCGTGTGTTCCTCAAGGAAACGTCGAGCAACGATAGCCGATATGAGTCAAGGGCCACTCCCAACGCCAAGAGGCGTCTTGTGCGCATCGATGTTGTTGCGACTGTCTCAGTTGCCGGCGCCGTCAGTTTTGGTTGTATCAGAATTGTATACATGCATACCATCAGAGCCTTCGAATGTTCATTCAGTATTGATTATCACATTGAAGAGTATTTTCGAGCCTGTCTCCATGTAAATTCCAAATGAAAAGGAATTCATTCGTCACTATGCTCCATCAAATTGTGTCCTACACACTTGTCAACCCTGACAACTGATCTTAACCCAGTTGTACCAGACACCTCCGCACCCTTTTACGGTTGCCATCAAATGGTAAGGTCGTCCGCGGCGTCGTTGGAGGCTTCTAGCTTGCCTGGTTCGCGTTGAAGGTGCCACCTTGAGCACCTGTTGAAGCCCGTCACTGATATGTCTGGTTTATCAAAGCAATCCGCTCATGGTATTGAACTTTGATTTGCCGAACATGATCTCGCCCATGCTTGGTTGTTATGCGGACTGAAGGTTTGTGACCAGGTCCAGCGTTCGTGTAACAGGGCCATCTCCCGTCCATCATATTTGGCAGTATGATCTTCGACTTATTCAGACAACGACGACCGAAGCCCCGTCAAAGTCGGCGGCTGGCAGGTATTTTCGTAAACTGGTCATCATATACTGATATATCGGCATTGATGGCAATGGCGAGAAACTTGTATTTCTTCTGCGGCTTCTTCACCTCTGTCAACCGCCATTAGTCTCCGATTTTGTACGTGATGACAGCTCCTTTATTGAGGGACACTGGCGATTGTTTCAGCAGGTCAGAGGAAACGAACTGCGTGTAGGCTGTTGTCAATTATGTTATTTGAGTTGTATGGTGCTTATTTGTGTCGATGGTTTTCCCCAGCATGATAATGCGTTCTTTGAATCCTGTTTCTGACCATCTCTATCGTCTCATTAGATCAATCGCAGTCACGTATGCAATATCTCGTACATCAACTTTTCACTGAGGTAGTGTCACAGGCTCTTGTACACACATATAGCAGGTGTACTCACAACACAGAGGTGCTGAAGGCCAACGCAAAAAGAAAATAACTCAGCAAGCAAAGACACCCTTTAGGATCAGAGGGCGCCGCCAGGAAGTCAGAAAGCAACTTAAGGAGAGCAGAGAAACCTCCAAGTCCAAGGAAGTTTTCAACCAACACCGTTGATAGCTATCATTGTTGATATGAGTTTTATACCCACCAGCCTTTTTCAAAGAGACCTCCAAATTTTCCTGTGTCTGCGCTTACTGTGTACTTAATTACTCCTTTTGGAGACAATGCAAATAGTATGGTAGAGAGTATAGCTACAGGAAAATCAGTCGCTCTAGCACAGGAAGAATAGGCAGTCTCTTTTTACTAGGTTGTGCATTGTTGACATTTTCATATGGAGCGGTGTCCCTGAGTACAGAGTGGAAGGAACGACCCGTCTCCATCTTCCTGAATCCCCTCGATTGCTTCTTGCCACCTTTGACAACTACCTCATAAGTCCTTCTTACTCATTCCTTTCAGATTGCTGCAGTGCGTTCAGACCCACCTAAGGCAGCTTTGCTCTCTCCTTCCACCTTCAAGCTTCCGCACTCGTCTTGTTTTCGGACTACCTACCGGCCTTACCTGCCTCAGACAAGGTCTTCAGGCAACTCAGGCTTGCCGCGTCAACAAACCTCCCTTTTCCACAACAAAAAATCTCACTGCCTCTGACAGTCAGGCCCCCTCTTCACAAACCACGCTCAAAGCCTGTTTCATTTACCCCTGCAGTCACATTCCTCTTATTTTCCTCACCTTCCATTCACAACATCTTTCCTGCCTCACAGAAGTTTTGTGGTGCGGTAACGCAATCTCAACAACGAAATGGCAGGTAGCGATCACCCAAACATCAGTCTTCTGATGTCAAAGAAGCAGCTCAGCCTCTTTCAGGCCAACAAAGCAGTTGATGAGTTCTTCGTGAGTTGCCGCAACCCTAATAGCATGCACTTTACTAATATTTTCATGTCTACAGGACTGGAAGCAGCACCACAAGAGAGAGTCCCTTCCCGGTCTGACCGGTGTTCTCATCCAGCGCGTGTCTGTCATCCTCAGCGAGTGCCCCAAGCACTTTGACCTTGATAGCAGCCTCATGAGCGCTCTGCTGAAGTGGGTTGCTATCTACAGCAAGCTGCGCAACGGATCCGAGGACAACTATGAGAGCGGCCTCAAGAAGCTGGTGTACTCCATCTTCGCTAATGCTGATTGGATCGTTTCCCACGACAGCGAGGAGGGTGTCATCAAGCGTCAGTTCAACAAGTTTGAGAAGGCCATGAACCAGCACGAGAAGACTAGCGAGACCTGGGTTGAGACCGCAGCCAAGTACGGCGCTCAGGAGTGGCAGCTGCGCCGCGACCAGCCCCGGCTTGAGGAAGCCCGCCTCAAGCAAGCCTTCCCCCGCATGACTGCTCTGGGCGCCATGGAGGCCACGAATGGAGAGATCATAGACAAGACGGGCCGCTTGCATCGCGACGTGAACAAGGAGAAGGACAAGACCGAGATGCTTCTGACGGAGGAGGGATACAGACTCGATTTCCAGTACGACTTTGGAACCATGACTCCGGTTTCCTACTCGGACGATGAGGGATACGAGGGAGTGCACTACAACGTCCCTGGTTGCTCGAATGGTGGAAAGGAGATTGCCTGCTTGATGGGAAAGAAGGCGGCTCAGTGAGGATGATGTCGATGTGATGACGTCCTAGGAGGCCTTGGTTTCCGACGAGACGAATGAACTGGCAACGCATGAGCCCGTGAGACGACATGAGAATTGGCAACGAAACAGACTACAATTCAGGTAGACCATGAGTTGTGAGAATTTGAAGATAACTTGCTCCATCATCGATGAGACCACAAGTAACGTGACTGACGGAAGTCAAATTGAACCTTGCCAGGAAAACCGATGGTCCGGGACGGGGATGCCGTAACATGTCAGGTCGAGCGCCCCGAAAGTCTGCCCAATTTGTCGCGGGTGGAGCCCGTGCCCTCGGCTGCCAGCGGGTGGCTAAGATGGCCAAATGCAGGGCAGGTCGGGTACGTATCTCCGGCCGCCAATCTCCCTGGCCGGAGCCCACCAAAAGTGCAAGATCGGGACAGCACAGCTCAGCTGAGCCCTCAGCCACAGGGAGCTTTGCTGGACGTAGCGGCGCAGCATCCACTAGGAATCCACCAGCCCAACCAATGTCGTATTACCGTGTACATCTGGAAATCCATGGCAGCTGCCGTGGACCTGCCGACAAGACCGACTTAGCCAGCTTCAACAAGTTTCCTCGCCCCGAGACGTCGTCATCCTCCCGCCAAGAGCGAACGGCAAACTGCGCATACACGCCGCGTACGACCCCGGAGTGACCACATATACGCCTGATATCAGCGCATCGCGGACTCCTGCGCCGGCCGAACGAACCTCGACTTTTCTCTCTCTCCCTCAACAGATTTACGCCCGTCATCCCACCTGCAGCTTCCACACGCCGCCGACACCGCGCCTCTTGACTGACCGCGCCGCCGAGAACCCAACCTCCTTCCAAGATGGCGCTCAACGCGAGAGATCGCAGGGCCTACAGGACCGACGATAAATACCAAAACGGTGTCATCAGCGAGGAGAACCGTAGGAAAATCATCGACGTACGTGGAAAAGCTGTCCTTTCCGGAGCTCCTCGCGGGACCATCAGCTGACGCTTTGCGCATCTAGAACTACCTGCCGACACCCGAGGAAGACACGAGACAGCAATGGCGAGAGGGAGATGTTCCTCGTCCCGGCCGGTTTGGCCTGCGACGCGCACTTCGTCAGAAGCTTCACCTGTTCATTTACACCGTCATCCACGCCATATTCTCTCTGTACATTAGGATACGACAGGCATGGCACCTGGTGTGCTATCATGTCTCCTCCGTCATGTTCTACCACCACCGGACACCAGAGTACATTGAGCGCGACGTCGTGGGGCTGAAGAAGAAGCCCAAGCACCTTAGCGTGATTCTGAAGATGGAAGAGGGCGGCAGACATGGAGCTGAGCTGGAGAGACTGGTTGGCGAGGCGGCTGAGATTGCTGTCTGGTGCGTTTGCGCCAAAATCTCCGTCTTGACAGTGTACGAGCGGACAGGTGCGTATTCCTTGCTACGTTTATGCGACGGCGACTAACTCCTTCAAAGGCCTACTCAAGCGCTACCTGCCTCACGTCCAGCAGGCCATCATCCAAAAGTCTCGCGCCTACTTTGGCCGACACCAGCCCTCTCTCACCGTAGCCATGCCTCACGCCGACGAAATCCTCAAGTCCCCGGCCCACGGTGACTTCGCCAGCGTCGACCCGCGCCACCTCAAGGTCCTCTTCATCTCCGCCGAGGACGGCCGCGAGTCCATGGTCGACCTCACGCGCACTCTCGCCGAGATGTCCCAGAGGGGCAAGATCCACCCCCGCGATATCAGCATCGACCTCATCGACGCCGAGCTGTCCGAGGGCATCATGCCCGAGCCTGACCTGCTCATCCACTTCGGTCCCTATGTCGACCTCGACGGTTATCCTCCCTGGCCCATCCGCCTCACCGAGATTTTCTGCCTGCCCGACAACCAGGGCGTCGGTTACCAGGTCTTCTTGAGGGCGCTCCGCAACTTCGCAAGCGCACAGTTTCGCAAAGGCAAATAAGCAATGGCATTGCGCATATACCCGATTAGAGTTCTGATGGCTTTTCTTCGAGCTGGTCGCTGGCGGAAGATACCCGCATTTCCCGCATCGTTTTGTCCCACCGATAGACCGGCCCGGTCCCGACGTTGTAGTTATAGTAATTCTCAGTTCCATCCTTCACCATTGCTCGTCTGAAAGTGATGTTGATCCTCCCGCCGTCTTCCGCGTTCTTCCCGGTCCGCTTGGGGATCGAGTGCAGCCAGTTGGACTGCGTCCGCCCACGCATGAGAATCATGTCGCCACTTCCTAGGGGCAACTTGAGTTGCTTTGGGGCTGGCTTGTCTGGGTTCTCCGGGTCCGGGGGGATGGGCTTGTGCTTCATGAGAAAGTCTCGCCTTGCGCCGAGGGAGAACGAAGCGATGGCGGGGTCTGGGCCCAGGAATCTCTCGTCATCGCTGTGGAACGATATGCTGTCTGTCCCCGAGGCGTAGTAGTTGACCAGGCAGAAATTGAACTTGCAGTCGGTCGCGTCCTCGGTGGAGCGGCGCAGGTCATCGAGACACTTGGGAATCGGCCGAGGCGGATACCTTTGGTAGCGCTTGTCCTCGACCTTGAATCCGGACTTGACGTCTACGACTGAACCATCCTCGTCGAAGCGTGCTGTGTCGTCGAGACCATAAACCGTTGTCCATCTAGAAGCGCGTCAAAAGGCTTTCGAGACGAGTTGTTGAACACGAGTACCTACCTTGGCGTGCGGATATGAGTTTTGATGCCACCCCTGTTGATGTCGTACTCAACCCGGTAGAAAGGGAGCTCTGCCCGAAGGAACTCAAAGAGATCCTTCGCCAGATACGACGGGACGTATGGCTCGAAGTAGAGCAAGTCAAGGTCTGGCTGGTCGTTGATTTCCCTACCCGGACGTGCTGGCAGAGATGAGAGCTCTTTGCTAATACTAGGCGCTAGCTCCAAAATGGGGCAAGGATAGTTCGGATGAGTTGACTTTCCAACCTGGCAGTCCGTTAGCCTCTGCAGCATCACAGGTTGAGAACACGTACAGCCTCGACAGTCTCATCCTCCTTTCGCGTCTTTTTCGCACTCGGCGCGAAGAACGCGTCTAACGTTCTCTTCTTCGACATGGTTTGCGAGGTGGACAGTGATTGGTGGTGTGTAAGTGAAAAGAAGGTTCGGTTCAGCCAGGGACCGTTGAGTCGTCGCCACATGTACGCGCCAGAACAAACTTCCTTCAAACGGAAAGAACCATGCCGCTGGATTCTTACTCAGAATTCAACGAATAACATTGAGCAAGTGACTTAGCATCAGTCCATTCTCGTGGATAGAGTTGAGTCGACAGATGCTATCCCATCCCTTGATGCCTCTCGTCCAATCATCAATGACGCTTACATCGTGGAGCTTCAGTGACATCACGCTCTGACGCTCGGGCCATCTTGCGCGCCCAGTTCCGAGGACAGCCTCGTGTCTGCGCCACATGCGCCACGCGCTACAAGGACCCCTGTCCCTCAGCCCTAAACGGAATTTTCCTCAGCCTTGCCGCTCCATGATCGTCCCCCCTCCATCGACTCATCAAAATGGCAGTAAGTAACGCCCTTGCACGGTCACTGCTCGAACGGAAGGACTAATACCTAGATAGACCTCTGAATCTGACGAGATGATAAGCTTCCGGGTGCCTCTTGCCCGCGCGGCGACGTCTCTGGACCGCTCGCTCTTCTCCAAAACCGTGAAGCTTGCGGCGGCGACTGTCAAGGACAACCGCAACATCTCAAAGTATCGCAAGCAGCTTGAAAAGTCCAAGGAGCTTCTAGATCTGGACCGTCTGGACTCTTGCCGCTCTGACCCTGTAAATACTGGTCTGAAGTGCCTCCTGTTGCGTCCAGGTGTGAAGCATGATGGTATTTTTCCCCTGATGAAGTTATGAGTGAGGGGTATGACTAACACGGTCGACCAGCACCGACGACATGGGGACCTGTGTTCCAGGAGGGTATCAAGAGCGGCGAGCTGGATGTCATCCCGTATGAGTTGCAGCTTGACTACGATTACTGGAGCTATCGTGAGTGAAAATTGCGTGTCGTCCGGGATGCAAGCTGATTATAAGGCAAAGTCGACGTGATGACCTCCATCCTCCCTGAAGAACTTCACGTCGAAATTCCCGTGGGTTTCAACACAGCCGGGCACGTTGGTAAGTTTCACGAGACTCACGCGAGATGCATCTACTGATCACAACAGCCCACCTCAACCTCCGGGACCGGTATCTCCCCTACAAGAAGATCATCGCCGAGGTCATCCTCGACAAGAACCCCAAAATCCGCACCGTCATCAACAAAGTCGACAACGTCGGCGACGAGTCCGAGTTTAGGACTTTCGGCTATGAAGTTCTTAGTGGACCTGACGACATGAACGTCGAGGTCAAGGAGAACGACTGCGTCTTCCAGTTCGACTACTCCAAAGTCTACTGGAACAGCAAGCTCGAGCCCGAACACACCAGGCTCATCAAGATGTTCCAGCCGGGTGAGGTGGTCGCCGATGTAATGGCTGGTATTGGACCTTTCGCCGTACCGGCTGGAAAGAAGGGCGTCTTCGTCTTCGCCAACGACATGAACCCCGAGAGCTTCAAGTACCTCATTGCCGCCGTCGAGAAGAACAAGGTCCGTCTCCCAAACATCCTATACGACGTATCTCAACTAACCGATCCCTCAGGTGTCACAATACGTTCGACCCTACAACATGGACGGCCGCAAGTTCATCCAGGAGGCAGTCCACGAGGTCTACTCAGCCTCAACCCGCGGCGACGCCGCCGTCATCAAACCAAAACAGTCCAGAAGCAAACCCCAAAACCCTCCCCCCGAGCCAAAACGCATCCCCGTCCCGCCGACAATCTCCCACTTCGTTATGAACCTACCCGCCTCCGCCTACACCTTTGTACATCACTACAAGGGCATCTACGCGGGCCACGAGAAGCTCTTCGAGCCGCACACGTCGACCAAGCTGCCCATGGTCCACGTCCACTGCTTCGCCCTCAAGTCCGACGACGAGGTGCCCCTGAACGACATCCTCGACCGCGTCCACCAGGAGCTCGGCGTCCGCTTCAAGCTCGGCGACGCGGACAAGCAGGGCGAGATGACAATCTACGACGTCCGCGACGTCGCGCCCAAGAAGCGCATGTTCTGCGCCAGCTTCCGCATCCCCCCTGAAGTCGCCTTCGCCACGGACAGCTGAGCTTCCCCCGAAAACGCCTGACTTCAACCCGGTCTTGAGGAGGACGAGTGATGCCACAATTACCAAATGAACAGAAAAAGAAAGGCCACCACTCCCGACCCGACACGGCGCCCAAAACTCCATCCGTCCGTCCTCCGCGGCAATACCTCCATCAACCACTTCATCCTCCCTCCTCACGCCATTCCGGCCGCAACACCACCCACCACCTCCGTTCCTGACCGAGAACTTGCCCCCGGCCGTTCCAGAACCCGCGCCGCTTCGCTCACCGTGCAGCCGGTGTACAAGCCCGCGCGGCATCCCTTTCACAAAACACCAAAAAGAACAATAACCCGCCCGCCATCAACCACGCCCCCGTCCGCATCGTTTCAACTACCGCTGCCAACCTCCTTCATTTCACCTCGAGTACCGCGTAGGTACGTGTCAGCACTTGCCTGATCGGCCGCCTTGCAGGCGAGCGGGGGGGCACGTAGTGGGTGCGCGGTCGTGGTGTAGAAGTGGGTTGGTTCGGACTCTGGGAGATAACGTGCTGATACCCTGACGGACTGGTGACGGGGGGAAGAAAGCCATACATTGATCAATCAATCAAAAAGAGACAGAGACAAGAGAGACGCACGTAAGGAGACAAGAAGCATCGAGGCGTCCCATCCACCCCCTCCTTCGCCTGGCGGGGAGGAGAGCTGGTTCTGGGCCGCCGCAGCCTCGCGAACCAACCAGCCAAGCCCCCAATCGCACACTGTCAATAACAAGACCGTTCTATACCCAAACAAGACGACGTGCATCTCATCCATCCATCCATTCTCCCGCATATGCGGCTCCCTTCTGCTGCCCGCCTCCACCTCCACCACCACTTCCTTCTTACATACAGGATAAGTGATAGATTAATCTTGACCGGGGAGGTACGGGAGACAGCAATGTTTTTGCATGTGATAACAAACCCCCGTCCATCCCCTCCTCCCCCGGGCGCGGCAGCTCCGCAGCGGCGCGTCCCTAAACGACGATGCCTCGTCCAAGTCCAGGCCTCCACCGCATGTAGTAGCATCAACGAAATACCAACGCCTCGCGACTTCGCAGAACACCAAGAAAGAGCCTCTGCAAATCTGATCCATCAACACCTCTCACGCCGTGCAACCCTCCCTCCCTGCCCCTCCGACGCCCCGTCTCCGTCGTTCGCCAACGTCCCCTCCCCCTTCCCCCGCTTCCCAGGAATCTCGCAATCTACAATTCTGCCACTCACACGACGCTCTTGATGCAAGCCACAGCTTCGACAGCGAAGAATAAATGGGCAGCGCACCAAAGTCCCTTGGCCCTGAAGAGGCAGACTGCATCATGACATGTACACATCAATTCGAACGGCCTCTACTCCGGTCAAGCGGGGCTAGAACAACCGCCGCTGCCCCCCCATCCAACATGCAACACACACACACACAGAATCCGTCCCGCTCCATCCATTCCACGCCTCCATCTCTGAACCGTGAGACCTGTCAAAAATCCATGCCGCCCGTATTCACAGCTTGCTCCGCGACCGGTCCATCCCTTCGGGTAGCTCTCTCGTCGTGTCACAGGTCCCTTTCGAATCTACGCCAGCTAGGTGATGAATCACAATCACGCAACCTCGCAACACCACACACGCTCCCGTCAACCCATCGCCTCTCACATCTCCATATCCAAAATCCATCACATCCCCCATCTCAGGCCACCCACCCAACCCAAACCCCGTACCTCCTCGTCTCCTTCAATACCACCCTTCCTTCCCTGGCCCCCCGGGGAACCCCGGAAACCAACCCAACCCGCGCCAGGCCTGACATCAAAATCCCACCCACATGTCACCAACAACACCTAACGAACATCAACGTGCTGACAGCTTACCATGCGAAAGATGCACCAAGACAATCATTTCCTCTCAAACACACCACAAATCCATGACTGTGGCGCCCCGTAGAATCTCTCGTTCCAATTCCCAATATCAGATTTCGCGTATCCCCATCCCATGTCCCCGTCATGCACGACATATGCCGCTCAAAGAGGGTCCCAATATCACAGACAAGGAGATAGATACAACGAGAGGAACTGCGCAACCGCGCCGTATCAAAAAAACCTATTACAATAACAATACGCAACCGGTATTCCTATAGGTAAACGCACCATTATCTGCACACATCTCCACATCTAAACCCCAGCTCTGCAACAGCGCCCGGGACGAAAAGGACGGATGAACCGCCTCAACAACACGCCCCTCCTCGCCTCCTCAACGCACCTCTTCTCCAACAACTAGAAGGTGAAGAAGCCAGGTTCCACGTAACACGGCTCCACGAGGCTGACTGCTTGCATAGTCGCCGCCATTGCACAACAACGGGCATACAGAGAGGGACAAACCAGTAGACGCCTTGCCCTCTCGGGAAGCGATAGGTAATGACGTGCGTAAACTGGTTGGATTCGCCTTCTGTTTGGTATACCTACCTTGCTGATGGGGATTCTGTCAGCCACACCCCCTCCGTCTACAAGTTCTAGGTCCCAGATCATCATCAGTCTGTTACTCCACAGACTACTCACATCCGAGAAAAGATATCCCCGATCGATCAACATTGCCAAATCGTAACAGAAAATCTCAGACCACAGGGGAAATAATCCCCGAGAGCTGCTCCCCTCCCGCCACAGGACATAACCGTAGATCACACGCGCAAAGAACACGGAAAAGAAAAAAAAAAACGTGAACGTACTAACTCACTTCTCAAATCTCAACACCACCGAAAAGACGATTCGACATCTCCTGATTCTTTCGTAGTTGACTCCTCGGCCAAGATGCCGCGTTCGTGTAAGACAGAACCAGCAATGGCGCGGCGCCACTCCGCTGGCTCAAGGTACAACACTGAACAACCACGAACCAACAGCACCCACCACCAAAAACGGGGCCCTCCCCCCTGGCTCTTAGTTAGCTGCACATCATAGAAAACGGGCGCTGGTCGCTACGCGTGGTTGAACCGACTAAAACGCAGCTATCCACGTTCGCGGCGACATCCTCTGTCTGCGTTAGTAAACGGAGGCGAACCATTCGGCAACAGCCCTTATCCGTAGTCCTCCTCGTCCTCCTACCGCGGTGGACAAAAATAAAGCAAAAAAGAGTCCGAGGAGGAAAAACCGGGGCCCCCGTATCGAATTCGACCGCCGTACCACCGCGAAAAACTCCGTCGCCAGCGCCTAAACCTCAGGACCTCCCAGCTCCGCAAACGGGGGGAGGCTTGGGAGCGTACTGGGGGCGACGGTGGTTTTTCTCCCACCTCCCCCAAAGAGCCGCCGCCCGCTCGCCGGGAATACCTTCGGACACCCTGGCGACGGGGCGGCGGGCGCTTCAAGATTCTAGGCACATCACGCACGCTATGCCGCGGCGCAGCTGCGAAGGCAGTGATGTTGCACTCGACTCCGTTGTGGCCAAATTCGTCGTTCCTCGGCCGCTCACAGGCCGCGCCTCGGCTTCGGACCACCTTCGTGACTCCCAGCAGCCGCCAACGGCCATCCAGGTAAAATGTTTTGCCCACTCAGAAGAAACAAGTGTTGGCTAGTCGGACCATGGTTGGTCGTGATATCCGACAAGAACGGCATCCCGAGAACGCTTCCCAAACCGCCCCCGGGTCCTTTTCTTTTTCCTGGTTTCCTCCCCCCCTTCGCCTGATAATGATAATCCCCTTCCAAGAACCGGCAGCCTCTGGGCGCCCACTGGCTGCTCTCACCTCACACCCTCCTTACCTTAGCCTCTCGGGGCTCCTCCGGTGATTGCGTGAGTAATCGAGGTCTAGAACGCCTCGCATAATTCAAAACGCCCCAAATAATTCGCTGCTTTCCCAAAAATGCTCCGTCCTGCGTTAAACCAAGCGCCCCAAGCTGTGAATGACGTTGCTCCACTCGTTTATGCCGCACCCTGCGCCAGGTGCCGGAGCCTCGAGACGAGACGATTGCCTAATGACGAGCCAGAATGAGAATGAGAGTGAGAGTGAGAGTCCGAACGAGCCGCTTTCAACCGAGCTGTCGCGTCTTTTCCCGGCATTTCACCGGTAACCCTCCCCCGGTTCCCCGGTGTAAGCACTACCCATACTGCGCAATCGCAATGGCCCTTTGCCGCGTGCGCGTGTACGGCAATACTTCCTAGTACGCACCACCGCGTATGGGCAATACAGCAGCTCCGTACCTCGCGACACAGACACACACCTGTCGTCAAGACGTGATTGTCACAGAAGGCCCAACACAACTCTCTCCCACACCCTCTCTTGTCATAAGGTAAGACCCATAGCTCCCGACCTCCCGGTCTTCCGGCCGGCCGCCCGTACCTGGCTAGCCCTTGTATCAACCGCGATGAAGAGATGGAAATGAGCTGGAGGCGACAAGAAAAGGGGCGTCCGGCCATGGAGGTGATAATCCCGGGTGATTCTCTAGCAAAACTCTGTCCGTCAATGTTTGAACAATTCGATAGTCGAGACTTGCTTGAGAAGCCGAACTTCGTCTGCTCGATGCCGATGTCTCGAGTGGCGCGGGGTCAAGACCTTGGCAGGGCCATGACGTCCAGGCACCACGCGGTTAGGTTTGGTCTATGCTCATGATTGCAGCAGTTGAAGGATTCCCCATCATCGATGTCGATGCTCTTGCTTGCCCCAGCCCCAGACCCAGCCCCCTGAATGAGCCTCAATCAAGATCTCCGAAAGGCAGCTCGTTCGGACATTAGGGCGTGTATGCACTTTTTGCATTCAACCGCGCGGCCAAGTGAGACAGTAGCTGCTGCTGCCCCGCGTTCCCCAGCCAAGTCCGAGGAGATGGAAGACGTCAAATGCATAGAGTTCACATCTTACTTCTGTAGCTGAAGGATGAGCCTCATCGAAGGTGTATGACAAACCTTCCCCCCGCGTTCTTCAAAAGCTGCATGCTTTTTGTTTCCGCAAGAGTTCAAAGCTTCGCGGGAACGTGGCGGGCAGCTTTTGGTCGTCGTTCTCGAAACCCCGCGCGATATCAGCACA